CCTTTTTTCCTTTTTTTTTTTTTTTTTTTTTTTTGAGTTGGAGTCTTGCTGTTGCCAGGCTGGGGTGCAGTGGTGTGATCTCAGCTCACTGCAACCTCCGACTCCCTGGTTCAATTGATTCTCCTGCCTCAGCCTCTCAGGTAGCTGGGACTACAGGCGTGCACCACCACACCCAGCTAATTTTTGTATTTTTAGTAGCGACCCGGTTTCACTGTGTTGGCCAGGATGGTCTTGATCTCCTGACCTTGTGAACCACCTGCCTAAGCCTCCCAAAGTTCTGGGATTACAGGCGAGAGGCACTGTGCCTGGCCAGGGTTTCTCTTTTGAGTGCTACAAATTAAACAAACATCATCAAAGTGAATGTATTGTCACATAATTATAACTGGACTGCAATTCTACATTATGTCTGATTTTGAAATATTCTTGTTTTCTGGACAATAATATATGTCCCCTGGTTCTTTTGCTGGAATAGTAGCCTAGTGTTAGGTAACCTTAGTCCCCAGTAAGGGAGTCATTCTGTGTTACTTTGTAGCCATCTGTGGAAGATAGAGATCTTTTACCTACTTTATGACCAGGAAATGAAGCTCTTTTAAATTTTTTATCTTGATATAACCATGCTTTTATTTTTATGTGATGTTGCAGCTTTATCGATATGTTACAACTCAAGCAAGGGACAGCAGAAATTCTCTTTTGACAGATGTAATTGCTGCTTATCAAAGATTCTGTTCTCGACCGCCAAAAGGTAAATGCTTAGGTGTGGCCGTAGTGTTCTACATTCTTAGGTTGGGTCTTCTCTCTCCTTCTGTAACCAATTCCCCTGCCTCTACCTTCTCTCTGATTACAACATTGAAGATAAGTCATCTTCAAATGTAACACATTTGTAGATAATGAAATTGGTATGCGAAAAGGAGACATTTTCCTTTAACACTTCGGGTTGTGAACTCTTATTTAGACTTTGATGTGCTTGTACACAAGAAACGGTCTGCTTTTAACTTGTGCTTTTTTTTTTTTTGAGATGGAGTTTTGCTCTTGTTGCCCAGGCTGGAGTGCAGTAGCGTGATCTTGGCTCACTGCAACCTCTGCCTCCCGGATTCAAGCAGTTCTCCTGCCTCAGCCTCCCAAGTAGCTGGGATTACAGGCGCCTGCCACCACGCCCGGCTAATTTTTTGTATTTTTAGTAGAGACAGGGTTTCGCCATGTTGGGCAGGCTGGTCTTGAACTCCTGACCTCAGGTGATCTGCCCTTCTCGGCCTCCCAAAGTGCTGGGATTACAGGCATGAGCCACCACACCTGGCTAACTCGTGCTTTTTAATGATGCATCAGCTGCTTTGAAAACAAAATGAACCCAAAACCTGGTGAATTTTAGTTTGAAGATGTGTATTTTTTTTTCCCTTTTCTAACAGGATTTGAAAAATACTTTCCTAATGGAAAAAATGGAAAAAAAAATAGTGAACCTAAAGAAGTTATGGGAGAAAAAAAAGGTACCTTTTGACAAGATTATATTTGAATTTTGTGTTTTCCCCTTATATATGATGGTGATAGTTTCCTATCTGAACAAAGAAAAGCGTTATCAGGCTGGGAATGGTGTCTTACTCCTGTAATCCCAGCACCTTGGGAGGCCAAGGCAGGTGGATTGCTTGAGTCCAGGAGGTCAAGACCAGCCTGGGCAATGTGGTGAAACCCCATCCCTACTAAAAATACAAAAAATTAGTTAGGCATGGTGGTATATACCTGTAGTCCCAGCTACTTGGGAGCCTGAGGTGGGAGAATCACCTGAGCCTGGCAGTGAGCTGTGATAGCACTCCTGCACTGCAACCTGGGCAGCAGAGAGACCCTGTCTCAAAAAAAATAAAAATAAAAAAATAAAGTTATAGTAAGTCAGTTGTGAAGCTGTAGGTTACAAGTACATATAAAATTCTATAGACCTTATGTGTCATTTCACCCTAATTTTCTGTTGATATTTTCTTGTCATTTTGCAAACTGAGGTAATTTAAGGCCACCTTAGAGGTATTGACTAGTCAAACTAAGCATATTTGGTATATTCTGGCACGTAATTTAAAGCTCTGAGAAAAGTCTTAGAAATCTAATACATGCAATTTGTTTGATACATATTGTGTTTAGGGCAGTGTTTTAAAAATTGCTCTTCAGAGCAATACCTCACCTTAGGGATTCAGAGAGACTTTCTTAGAGCTGGGTGGCTGGGGGACTGAGTGAGCTCCAAGCCTCCTGTGCCCATTTCATAAGGGTGATAGCATTTAGCACCATGTGTTGCACATGTTGGTATTCAACTGGCATCCTTGCTTTTTAGGGTAATGTAAGGAAAACTATAATTCAGTTATTGGTTTTTTTTTTTTTTTTTTTTTTTTTTTTGAGAAGGAGTCTTGCTCTGTCGCACAGGCTGGAGTGCAGTGGTGCAATCATGGCTCACTGCAACCTCTGCCTCCTGGGTTCAAGTGATTTTCCTGCCTCAGCCTCCCGAGTAGCTAGGATTACAGGCACGTGCTACCATGCCTAACTTTTATAATTTTAGTAGTGACAGGGTTTCAATATGTTGGCCAGGCTGGTCTTGAACTCCTGATCTCATGTGATCCACTCGCCTCAAAGTGCTGTGATTACAGGCATGACAACTGCACCTGTCCTCAGTCCTTGTTTTTAAATGTGCTTGTCATCTAGTTGGAGAGACAGATACATGCCCAAAGAATGCAAAGGAATGAGAGCCAGGGGACACAGGATAGGAGAAGTGCTGGTGTGGGCTGGTGATAGCCCCGGGGTTCTAGATTAGAGCAGTGCCTACGGTTCTCCCAGTGCCTGCTAGTACGTCTTTGAGTCTTGGTGTGGGGGCCAAGTAATGATAACCCATAGGAACTGTTGGGTGCCTTTTGTGTGGACATTCCTTTCTCCCTGAGTGGTGTGAAATGTTGCACAGCTTTAGTGGTGTGCTTACTGCCTGCTTCCCAGTCCTGGGCCTCATTGTAGGTGCTGAGACTTGTGCACATCATGCCTGTCTCAGACTCCACTTAAGACAGAGGTGCAGAAGCTCCTCATGTGCAGCACAGAGGAGTGAATGTGTCATGAAGCCACATGTCACATAGCCACTGAGGATGACCAGGAGGCTGTTACACTAGAGGGGTCGCTTCATGGTCACTGAAGACATGAGAAGAGTATTTGGGCAGGGTACAGTGGCTCATGCCTGTAATCCCAGCACTTTGGGAGGCTAAAGCAGATACATCACCTGAGGTCAGGAGTCTAAGACCAGCCTGGGCAACATGGTGAAACTCCATCTCTACTGAAAATGCAAAAATTAGCTGGGCGTGGTGGCACATGCCTATAATCCCAGCTACTTGGGAGGATGAGGCACAAGGACCACTTGAACCCGGGAGGTACATGCTGCAGTGAGCTGAGATTGTGCCATTGCACTCCAGCCTGGTGACAGAGTGAGACTCTGTCTCAAAAAAAAAAAAAAAGTATTTTTTGGTCTTTGAGAGATGGAGAAGTGGCAAAAGAAAGGAAGATGTTGGCATCATTGACTACATCGGTTTACTAGGGCTGCTGTCACAAAGTAAGGGATCACACACTGGGTGGCTTAATCAACAGAAATAATTAATGTGGTTCTGGAGGCTAGAAATCCAAGCTCAGGATGTCATCAGATTTTGTTCCTTCTGTGGGCTGGGAGGGAAAGGTCTGTTCTAGGTTTTTAGATGGTGGCCTGTCCTGTGTCTTTATATCATCTTCCGTCTGTGCCTGTCTGTGACCAAGTTTCCCTTTCTTTTTTTTTTTTTTTTTTTGAGACGGAGTTTCGCTCTTGTTACCCAGGCTGGAGTGCAATGGCGCAATCTCGGCTCACCACAACCTCTGCCTCCCGAGTTCAGGCAATTCTCCTGCCTCAGCCTCCTGAGTAGCTGGGATTACAGGCACGCGCCACCATGCCCAGCTAATTTTTTGTATTTTTAGTAGAGACGGGGTTTCACCATGTTGACCAGGATGGTCTCGATCTCTTGACCTCGTGATCCGCCCGCCTCGGCCTCCCAAAGTGCTGGGATTACAGGCTTGAGCCACTGCACCTGGCCCCCAAGTTTCCCTTTCTATACGACCAGCAGTTATATTGGATTAGGGCTCTCTGATGACCTTGTCTCAATGTGATTATCTCTGTGAAAAACCTTTTTCCAGATAAGTCCTTGTCCTGAGGTTCTGAGGACTAGGACTTTCCCATAAGGATTTTGGGGGGCACAGTTCATCATCTGACTCATTTCAGATTCCTGCAACTAGTTTTTTGTGGGTGTGTTTTTTTAGCCATTTGTCAAAACTGTGGGCTTTCCTGAAGAAGAAAGGGAACAATGTATACTTTGGGGGAAGTAGGAAAGGGAGTACTTACTTTTGTTTTGTTGCTGTTGTTTTTGAGATAGGGTCTTCCTGTTGCCCAGGCTGAAGTGCAGTGGTACAATCACAGCTCACTGTAGGCTCGAACTCTAGGGCTCAAGTGATCCTCCTGCCTCAGCCTCCTATGTGGCGGGGACCACAGGTGCATGCTGTGGGATTTGTGTCTCACAGAGCATAGATCGTATTGTGCCTGGCTAATTTTGAATTTTTTTTTTTTTTTTTTTTTTGTAGTGGCAGGGTTTTGCTTTGTTGTCCAGTCTGGTCTTGAACTACTGGGCTCAAGGGATTCTTCTGCTTTGGCCCCTGCAAAGTTCTGGTATTACAGGCATGAGCCCCTGTGCCTGGCTAGCACATACTTTTTTTTTTTCTTTTCCTTCCGTAGTCATTTCTTTATGAAATATTAATCTTTGACAATAAATATAAGAAGAAAAGCAACAAACAAGAGGCAGTGAATTTGTATAGTGGATGGGAAACTGCAGGCCAAGGCAGGCTAGAAGTTCTGTGACTCAGCAGCATGTTCTGTGGGACCGCCAACAGTCTACAGTGGGATAGTACACTCATCTTTTCTTCTTCTCCCAAAGGTCTCAAACAGCTTACATGGGAGGCTGAACGTGATGACTGATCTAATTTTTGCCCTCCAACCATTTTTTTTCATCTAGCTCTCTGATTCCGTACATTCCAGACATCTCAGGGGATTTGTAATAAACTTTCAAGATGAAGGGAAATTTCTTGCTCATTGTTTGCCTAAAATCTTGGCTTCTGTGCATCTTGTTAAACAAAAAATATGCTCCAAAAATGCCTAAAAGTTCAGCTACCAAAACCCCACTTTAAAGATCTTCTTTGCTAGTGGTTCCATAGTACGGGCCATCCTCAGGTGCCTGCAGGGGAGCTAGCACATACTTTTAAACTTTGAGTGGGGACTGAGGAATTTGCATTCCAACTCTGTCACTTATTCACTGTCCCCTAACACTGCCACACGTTATCCAACAAGTTACTTAAGCTATACTTTCTCCCTCTGTGAATGGGTATAACAATTCTATAATTTCTTGGGTTATTGTGCATATTTCATGAGATGAGGACAAGTACAGCCCTTGGGAGCCTCCCTGATTGGTAAGCTTTGTATTTGTATTCCTCCTCATAGTGCTTCACTTAGTAACTGATCAGCCGACACAGTGTATTCAGCAATAAGGCTTTTAATTAAACTGGTATAGATGAAGACATTGCTGAGAGAGCTAAAACCTTGCCATGCTTCTGTGTGTGCTCTTTGTTTATGAACAGAATCAAAGCCAGCTGCTATGGCACGCTCTTCTGGAAGAGGAGGTGGTGGTGGAAAACGAAGTGGCAAGAAAGATGATTCTCACTGGTGGTCCAGGTTCCAGAAGGTTTGATCCTATACAGTGTGTGAATTTTGAGGTTACGATGGTAGCCCAGAGAAGGTTGGGAGGCATTATTAGTGTTGGAGGGATAGATCGTATTGTGAAATTTTCATTCTTCACAGAAGCTGTCTCCCTCTATTCCCAGGGTGATTTTCCATGGGATGACAAGGATTTCAGGATGTACTTCCTCTGGACTGCTCTTTTCTGGGGTGGAGTCATGTTTTACTTCCTGTTCAAGAGATCCGGGAGAGAAATCACTTGGAAGGACTTTGTCAATAACTACCTTTCAAAAGGGGTAGTAAGTATTTGATGGGATTGGTGGCTGTTGTGGTTCAAAGGTGAAACCCAGCAGATTAGACAAAAGAAGTGACAGCAGATTAACCTGGCTTGTCCATTGTAAAGTTGTTGAGAACTACTGCAACCAGGGAACTCATGTTTATACCTGATATCCCCATATTTACCCCCAAATCCTTTTATTTCACTACCTCCTAGAACCAGGTTTTGGAACCACTGCTTCTGACCGTGGTCCTGGGAGTCCTCTGCTTGTGCCCTTTTCTCATGTACCCTCAGCTGCCTCTTCTCTGTGCTCTCTGTGCCAGTCTCTCTGGGCTCTTTGTGGGTCTTTACTATGTTTAGTCACCTGTGGGGTTTGGTAGCTAATGAGAGAGTGTCAAGTTAGAGCAGATGGTGCACTAAGGGAGGGCCAGGTGGGCACATGGTCCCTGCCGTTGCTCTGTCTGCGGAGCAGCCTTTGTTACTGCCTGCTGGGCTTGCCCGTGTGGAACTGTATTCGCCACAACCAGTGGGAAATAAGTAAGGCCATGTTTCAACATCTTTAAGATGCTATTGATTGTTAAGACACATGGTTACTAAGACAAATCTAATAAGATGCTGATGAAATTATGACACGCCATCAGTTGTAAAGTGGATCTCTATTTCTGATGTTAAAATATGAAAAATGTGTGTCTTAGAATTGATGCGGTGTAGTGATAGTCAGAGAACAAGGATTAGGCCTACTATGTAGCCTTGGGGAAACTCCTTAACTTCTTAATACTTGGGTTTTTCATCCATGAAATGGATAAAGTAAGGCAGTATTAATACTGAGGTAGTGTAAAGAATTAAATGAGTTCTAGAGGTTTACAGAAAGGTAAGGAGTAAGAAATGGTTATCCAGTCAGATGGGCAGCTGCTACTGTGCTAAGAGCTGAATTTGACAGATTAACTTCAGTTTGTGTTTCCCTTGGAAGCTGCAAACCTTCAGTGGACTCAAGTTCCAATAATACTTAGATCAGACAGATCCTGCCTGTACCTTTGTCCTGTGGGTAGGGAGATGGGTTCCTGTTGCTTCCTTATACCATTATCTTCCCAGAGTCTTCTTATCTAGTCAGATTTTTGAAACGTGTTTATCTCATGAAAGTGAGGATGAGAATTTTTTTTTTTTTTTTTTGATATGAAGTCTCACTCTGTTGCTAGGCTGGAGTGCAGGGGTGCGATCCCAGCTCACTGCAGCCTCTGCCTCCTGGGTTCAAGCGATTCTCCTGTCTCAGCTTCCTGAGTAGCTGGGACTATAAGCACATGCCACCACACCTGGCTAGTTCTTTATATTTTTAGTGGAGACAGGGTTTCATCGTGTTAGCCAAGTTGGACTCGATCTCCTGACCTTGTGATCCACCTGCCTTGGCCTCCCAAAGTGTTGGGATTCCAGACGTGACCCACCGCGCCTGGCCTTTTTTTTTTTTTTGAGACGAAGTCTCTCTCTGTTGCCCAGGCTGGAATGCAATGATGCGATCTCAGCTCACTGCAACCTCTGCCTCCAGGGTTAAAGCAATTCACCTGTCTCAGCCTCCTGAGTAGCCAGGATTACAGGTGTGTACCACCACCCCTGGCTAATTTTTTTATTTCTTGTAGAGATGGTGTTTCATCACATTGGTCAGGCTTGTCTCATACTCCTGACCTCGTGATCCTCCCGTCTTGGCCCAAAGTGTTGGGATTACAGGCTGAGAGCCACGGCACCCAGCTGAAAGTGAGGATCTTATACGTGTAACTCTCAGATGTAGTAGGGACTCCCACTCAGAAGCTGCTCAGAGCAGTGGTTATTATGTGTGGACTGGGCTGCAGCTGTCCTTCTGAATGGGATGGCAGGTCCTCGAGGCTGCTTCTCTGTAGCTGTAGCTCCCTCTGACCGTTTGGCTCTTTGGCATCAGTCTGCTGTCTCCCCAGCAGGTGTCTGTGGGGCGGAGCACTGCCAGTCATTCCTCTCTGACAGAGACAGCCTTTAGAACAGTTGCTTCCTGATTCCAGCTCCTCTGGGATTGCTCTGGGGCCCCCTTGCTTTCTGTTTGTCGTTCTTGCCTCCAAGACTTGCTGATGAAGCAAGCAGCGGGAAATAAGCACATCCCAGAGGGCCTGTGCTCCTAAATCCATTATAGTCCTTGGGATGTGGTTTTTAACAGTGTTATTTAGAATCCTATATAGACCAGCCATGGTGGCTTATGCCTATAATTCCTGTACTGTGGGAGGATCACTTGAATGTAGGAGTTCAAGACCAGCCTGGGCAACACAGGGAGACCTCATCTCTACAGAAAAATACAAGAAAAATGGCTACTTATGGTGGCTTGTACCTGTAGTCTCAAGGAGGCAGAGATAGGAGGATCTCTTAGGCCCAGAGAGGTTGAGGCTGCAGTGAGCGATGATTAGACCACTGCACTACAGCCTGGGTAACAGAGTGAGATCCTGTCTTGAAAAATAAAAATAAAAAAAGAATCTTATATAATTAAGATATTCAATTAAACAAGCTTAAACTATTTTATATTTATAGAGTGACAAAAATTAAAAAGTCTTATACTACCTAATGTTGGTATGTCCTATAGAGCAATAGACTATGTGCTATAGAGCAATAGTAATATTTTGCTCATGACAGTGTTAATTTGGGAGCCATTTTGGAGAGCAATTTGGCAATATCTAGTAAAGCTGAAGATACATATACCCTGCAACCCAGCCTTAGTATATCTACAGGTATGTATCCTGGAGAAATTTTTTAAAGATGTACCCATGAAGGTAGATATGGGAATGTTTATAACAGCATTGTTTGTGAGAAATATGTAACAGCCTAGCTGTCTATTAATAGAAGGATGGATCAGTAACTTGGATGTCCTCATAGCATGGCATACCCGGCAGCATGGAAGTGTCAGCTTGTGTAAACTTCACATATGCAATGTTGGAGAGAAAAAGAAAGCTGTAAAAGGATACTTATATATAAAACAAGACTTTTTTGAGATGAAGTCTTACTCTGTCGCCAGGCTGGAGTACAGTGGTGTAATCTCTGCTCATTGCAACCTCCAACTCCCAAGCCATTCTTCTGCCTCAGCCTCCTGAGTAGCTGAGATTACAGTGCACGCCACCACACCCAGCTAATTTTTGTATTTTTAGTAGAGTCGGGGTCTTACCATGTTGGCCAGGATGGTCTCTATCTCTTGACCTTGTGATATACCTGCCTCTGCCTCCCGAGGGCTGGGATTATAGGTGTGAGCCACCACGCCCACCAAAAAGACCATTTTTAAAGTTTAAAAACAGGCAGAAGGGAATTTGCATATCATGTAGGGTTACCTACATGTATAAGGATGTGGTTTGGGCAGCACAGCCCCTAAGTGAGAGCATGGTCCCCTTTGGGAGGGGCCATGCCTGGGAGCTTCCACAGAGTTAGAGGTGGAAACGTGGGGGCATCCTTATCTGATTCTTACCTTGTATGGCTGAAGCATCATGTGTTTTTTTTTTTTTTTTTTTTTTGAGACGGAGTTTCGCTCTTGTTACCCAGGCTGGAGTGCAATGGCGCGATCTCGGCTCACCGCAACCTCCGCCTCCTGGGTTCAGGCAATTCTCCTGCCTCAGCCTCCTGAGTAGCTGGGATTACAGGCACGCACCACCATGCCCAGCTAATTTTTTGTATTTTTAGTAGAGACGGGGTTTCACTATGTTGACCGGGATGGTCTCGATCTCTTGACCTCGTGATCCACCCGCCTCGGCCTCCCTAAGTGCTGGGATTACAGGCGTGAGCCACCGCGCCCGGCTCGGCATCATGTGTATTTTAAATGAGCTTAAAAGAGTATCTCAAGTATTTTCTCTGAATTTATGTTTGAATTTGTTTTTAAAATTCCAGGTAGACAGACTGGAAGTCGTCAACAAGCGTTTTGTTCGAGTGAACTTTATACCAGGAAAAACTCCTGTTGATGGGGTAAATCATTTTATTAATTGATATGCATTGCTTGTAAATTAACTTTTCAGATTTAAAACTGAAAGGAAAAAACCTAGGGGGCCCTCACGTTGTAGTAGTTAAATGCACCAGATATATCAGAACTGGGCAGTGTGGCGGGGTGATTTCACTAACATCAGTGGGAACAAATATGTTGTTTATGGATTAGTGACAGAGGGATTGGGTCAGTGTTTTGTTTTGTTTCTGATAATTATTTTGACTACTTTTAGGAGACAATGAAATC